TTCAGGCTGGCCAAGCCCCCCGGCGACGGAAGCTCCCAGCCTCTCCTTTTTTTTCTTTATTTTTTTATTCTGGGATTTATTTACTTTCTTTAATTGAAACTTTGTAGCCTGGAGTGGAGCTCAGAGCCGGCCAGGGCGGGCTGTAGGGAAGCTTGGCTTCCTCCATCGCTAGGGGCAACCCAAGGCTCCAGCTCCGTGGCCATGGCCGGCTGAAAGCAGGTATCTGGGGTTTATTTACCTTCTATAATTGAAACTTTGTAGCCTGGAGTGGAGCTCAGAGCCGGCCAGGGCGGGCTGTAGGGAAGCTTGGCTTCCTCCATCATTGGGGCATCCAAGCCTCTTGCTTGCTCCAGCTCCGTGGCTGCCAGCCGCCATCTTGGTTGGGTTAATTTGCATATAGTCGCTCTGATTGGCTGGGGGGCGTGGCTTAAGGCATAGTGAAGGTACGGTCAATTTGCATGATTGTCTTTTATTAGTGTAGATGTTTTCTCTGTCCTGGAGTTTTGTTTCAGATTAAAGAACAGATAGTGTGAAATGCTGATATTCTTTTCCTGTTTTTCTCTTTCAACGTACTTTCCTCTTTGAGTCCAAATATTTAATGTTTAGGCCATCTTCCTTTGGTTGGTTATGGTGTTTACATCTATGGAATACCAATACCAGAACACACTGGGCCCCTCTTGGGTGCTGCTCTTTAAAACACTACCCCCCTACCCTTTCCTATCTTCTCTGAGGATATAGAAGAAATCTGTCATTTGACCCTTCTTCTCCATACTCCAAGCAGAGCTCGAAGTTTGAGTCGGAGCTTGAGTAATTCACAGACCAAAAGGATATAGTGTAGCTCTGGCCGGCTTGGCTCAGTGGATAGAGCGTCAGCCTGCGGACTGAAGGGTCCCAGGTTCGATTCCAGCCCAGGGCACATGCCTGAGTTTCGGGCTCAATCCCCAGTAGGGGGTGTACAGGAGGCAGCTGATCAATGATTCTCTCTCATCATTGATGTTTCTGTCTCTCTTTCCTTCTCCCTTTTCCTCTTAAATCAATAAAGAAATATATTTTTTTTAAAAAGGATATAGTGTAAGTAATGTAAAATATACCTAGAATAAACTGAACGCTGCAGCCAAGAGTTTAAAGCATTAGTTTTTTTCCTTAAGAGAGCTGAGGAGAGCCTCAGTCTCCCTTACCCCACTGCTGCGTTCCCAGGACACTGACCCCTAGTCCATCTACCACTGCCACAGCCCACCTTGAATCGGGTGTGGATAAAAGGGAAGGCCTGGACCAACCAGATCATTGGTTCATATGCATAGGCAAGGTTTAGGGGAGTGGAGGCGGTGCCTTCATTAGCAGACAGCGGAGCTCTCTGTAAGCTCCCCTCTTCCTAGAGCCCATGAGGAGTGGTCTGGGATGAGAGGAGCTGCAGAGTTGGAGGAAACAGTGCTGCACAGGGAGACTTTGCCTCTCTCCTTACCTGTCAGCCTAAGGTATTGGTATTTGGTATTTAGGTAGTAGTTGGTATTTAGGCAGCTCCTCGAAGACCCTGTCAGTGTTCTCATTTTGCCTGGACTGTTTTCTGGCTGTCCCCTGCTTCACACACACCATTCACTCTCCAGGGTCACCTTCCCCTCTTACTGTAAGCATGTCCTCTCCTGCAAACACAAGCACGGGCTCTCTCAGCTGCAGCCTCCTGTATGTGTATCTGTATTTGATGTGCATCACTATTGCCCCTACACTGTGGCCCCCGTGTCTGGAATTTAGAATTCACGATTTTGTTGTGTGGATAAATTAATGAGTGAGTGAGTGAGTGAGTGAAAGAACCCTCCAAAAGAGAAGGGTGAGTATCATTTTGGCAGCTCACAAACATTCTGTTGGCCGTAAATCATGGAAACGGTGCCCTGGCCCTTTCAATGCTGGGTTCCCATGGCTGGTCTTTGTGGAGCCCAGTTGTCCTGGTGAGTTTCTCTCCCCTTGTGGTCCAAGGTCACCAAAGTTACTGGTTACTCACGGCCATCACGTTTAAGTGAAGGTTCCCTTTTGTTGTGGAGTAAGAGCAGGGGCATCAACAAATGCCTTAAAATGATGGAAACTGCGATATTCATTTAACATGTGTGAGTATGCCCTTTTCACATGGGAGGTACTGGGGGAACGACGGTGGGCCAAACAGACATGTCCCCTCTTCAACCCTACAGAAAATATAGCTAAGTTTTCATTTTACACATAAATGTAGAATGTCAATTGTGATAAACACTTACGGTTTTATGACAGCCTCCTTATCATAGGGCACATGACCTAGTTTTGGGTCAAGAACAGCTTCCCTGAGGAAGCACCATTTGAACTGATAGTTGGAGGATGAATAGGAAATCAGCCTCAGGGATGCAATGGTGAGGGTCCCAAGCAGAGGACATGCAAGAGCTTGGCTTGCAGAGACGCAGAAAGGCCAGGGAAGGCCAGAGTGGCTGGAGCGCAAGCGGATAAAGGTCGGCCGGAGAAGCCAGATGTGCTGTGTATCAGTACTGCTCCTACACTGTGGTCCCGGTGTCTGGAATTTAGGATTCCTTCTCGGCCATGTTCAAGTTCCCATAAGCACAGGGAGCCAGTGAAGGATTCAGCCGGGAGCAGTGTAGTCACATTGGCAATGTAAATGCAGCACTAGCTGCTTCGGAGAATGGATTGAGGGCAAAAGGGATGAAGAAAAGGAGTGGAGGCTATTGCCAATGTCCAGAGGGGAGATGCTTTGTGGGGCACTCACAGACAAGGGAGCAGTGAGGGAGATGCTGGCTTTGAGGCAGAGAGGAAATCATAAATTATTTTTAGTCATGTTGAGTTTAAAGTACCTTTTGAGACATTTCAGTAACATGGAGAATGTAAATGAACATACATGGGTCTGGAGCTCAGAACAGAGGTCTGAGCTGTAGACCAACATTTTTGGGTTAATTAGCATGTTGGCAATAAAACCACAGAAATGGGTGAATTTGCCTGGAGAGAGACTAGAGGCTGAAGAGCAATGAGAGTCTAAATTCCAACATTTAAAGGTCAGGAGAAGGAAGATCCAGTGGCCAGGGGAGGCAAGAGGGAGTGGTTGGAGACACCGAGGGAAAACTGTGACA